CAAGCAGCAGACTCAGTTTGGCCCCTACTCCAATTTCCTGACTTCTGATCTAACCTGTCAAGCCCAGAGCCTGGTCTCCAAGGACCCCATGATACAACTCCACCTCTGTCTGAGGAAAGTGTGAGATCCTACAACAATGCTAAGAAGTTCACACAACTGGGGATTTTGCGCATTATGTGACAGAGATATGTGATTCCAAATAGCCACCTTCGGACTCCCAACATCAAGGTAGTAGCCCAACCCAACTACAGTGGTGAGGAGAGTTGAAAATTAAAGTGCACATACGTAAAGTGCACCTGTAAAACCATAACACAATCAAGAAAATGAATATATCCATCATCCCCAAAAGATCCCCATGACTCCTGGTAATCTACATGCCCCTGCCTCGAGGCAGACATGGGTATGCTTTCCTACAGAAGAGTTTGTGTTTTCTACAATGGAATTGTGTATATGTCCTTCTGTATGAGACTTCTTTTATTCAACATATTTATTTTGAGATTTACTTATCACTGTTGCTAAGTAGTATTCCATGGTATGGATACATTACAAGCTGTTTATCCACTAACACATTGAAAGACATTTGGATGTCTTCCACTTTTTGTCCAGCACAAAGAAAGCTGCCATGAACATTCACATATAAATATGTGTGTGGACATGTGTTTTCATTTCTCTTGGGTAAACAGCAGCAGAATGGCTGGGTAAATGGCAGACGCACATGTAACTTTAAAAAAAACTGCCAAACTGTTTTCCGAAAATGTTTATGCTGTTTTACATTTCCAACAGCACTGAATGAGAATTCTAGTTATTCTGCCTACTTGTCAACATTTGCTGTGGCTTATCCTTTTAATTTTACTCATTCTGACGGATGCGTGCTGGTATCTGATTGAGGCTTTAACTTGCATTTTCCCAATGACTAAGGATTTTGAGCATCTTCTCATGTGCTTATACGCCTTGCGTGTCTCTTTGGTAAAGTGTGTTCAAAGCTTTGGGCTTTTAAAAGTTGGGTTTTCTTTTCATGTCAGAACTGTGATACTTCTTTATTCTTTTTTTTTTTTTTTTAATGTTTTTATTTATGTTTTGAAGGAGGGAGAGAGACAGAGCATGAGCAGGGGAGGAACAGAGAGAGAGGGAGACACAGAATTCGAGGCAGGCTCCGGGCTCTAAGCTGTCAGCACAGAGCCCCGATGCGGGGCTCAAACTCACGAACTGTGAGATCATGACCTGAGCTGAAGTTGGATGCTTAACAGCCTGAGCCACCCAGGCGCCCCCTTCTTTATTCTTGATACAAGTACTTTGTTGAATACATGTTTTGCAAATATTTTTTCCAGTATGTGGCATTTTCCTACTATTAACAACATCTTTTGAAGACAAAAAGCCTTTAATTTTGATGAAGTCTAATTAAAAAATAAATATCATGCTCTCTATTGCTGTACTTAAGAAATCTGTGCTAAATCCAAGGTCACCAAAATTTCTCTGTGTTCTTCTACAAGTTTATACTTTTTGCTGTTATATTTATGGTCGATTCTTTGTATGATACATGACTGTGCACCTCGTGCTGACCATGTAGGCTTGGTCTATTTCTGAACACTCTCTTCTGTCCCACTGATTACTTGTCTGTCTTCACATCAGTATCACACTATATTTCCCCATATTTGCAATAAGTATCGAAAATCAGGTAGTGGTAGTCCTCCAAATTTATTCTCTTTTCCAAAGTTGCTTTGGCTATTGTAGGCTCTTTACATTCCCACAGCAATTTTAGAATCATCTTGCCATTAAAAAAATAAGCAAAAAAGCCTGCTAGAATTTTGACTGGCTTTGTGACAAACTATCGATTATAGAATTGAGAATTTAAATCTGAGTCATCTGACCTATACACACAGCACACATACCCTATGCAGTTCTTCCATTTTCTGCAGCAATCCTTCATGGTTTTCAGGGCTGCAATCTTGGACATCTTTTGTCAGAAGTATCTTTAAGTACTTCACATTTTTATGCCTTTATAAATGGTGTTGTATTTTTTTTTAATGTTTATTTATTTTTGAGACAGAGAGACAGAGCATGAATGGGGGAGGGTCAGAGAGAGGGAGACACAGAATCTGAAACAGGCTCCAGGCTCTGAGCTGTCAGCACAGAGCCCGACGCGGGGCTCGAACTCACGGACCGCGAGATCATGACCTGAGCCGAAGTCAGCCACCTAACCAACTGAGCCACCCAGGCGCCCCTATAAATGGTGTTGTATTTTTAACTTTGGGTTTTTTTTTTTTAAATGTTTGTTTATTTTTGAGAGAGAGACAGAGCATGAGCAGGGGAGGGGCAGAGAGAGAGGGAGACACAGAATCTGAAGCAGGCTCCAGGCTCCAAGCTGTCAACACAGAGCCTGACGTGGGGCTCAAAACCACAGACTGCGAGATCATGACCTGAGCCAAAGTAGGTTGTTTACCTGACTGAGTCACCCAGGCACCCCTTTAACTTTGTTTTCTTTACTGTTGTTAGCATGTAGAAATAATCCTGACTTCTGTATATTGATCTTATATCCTGAAACCCTGCTAAAATCAGTTGTAGCTTTTTATGTAGGCACCATGGGATTATCTATATACACGAACAAGACATTTGTGAACAGTTTCTTTTCTAGTCTGGATGCATTTTGTTTCTTGGTCTTACATTACTATACGGGCTAGAATATTCAATAAAATGTTGACTAAAAGTGGTGAGACCAGACATCTTTTCTTTTTCCTGATCGTAAGCGGTAAACATACTTCAAAATCAAGCACGGTATTAGCACTAACTTTTTGATATACGACAATGATCAGATTTAGGTTCACAACTGACAAATGACATTGATACACCGTTATCACCAAGTCCAGAATTTACATTAGAGCTCACGCTTGGTGGTGTACGTTCTATGGATTTGGACACGTGTGTAATGGTAGTATCCATTATTACAGTATTATACAGAATATTCTCAGTGCCCTAAAAGTCCTCTGTGCTCCATCGATTCATTACCTGCCCCTTCCCCCCACCCCCGGCACCCACTCCTGGCAGCAACTCTCTTTACTGTCTCCACAACTTTGCCTTTTCCAGAATGTCACAGAGTTGGAATATTTTAGTAGCCTTTTCAGATTGGCTTCTTTCATTTAGTGATGTGTGTTTATTTCTTCCCTGTCTTTTCATGGTCCAACAGCCATTTCTTTTTAGTGGTGAATAATATTACCTGTGTGGATGGACTACTGTTTATCCTTCCACCTACTGAAGGACGTCTTGGTTGCTTCCTAGTTTGCTGTAAACATCTGTGTGCAGGATTTTGTGTAGGCATGTGTTTCCAACTCTCTTGGGTAAATACTAAGAAGCATGACTGCTGGATTACATGGTAAGAGTGTGTTTCTGAGAAACTGCCAAAGTGTCTTCCAAAGTGGCTATACCCATCTGTATTCCCTCCAGCCATGAATGTGAGTTTCTGCTGCTCCACATCTTTACTGGCATTTGGTGTTGATTTTGGGCATTCTAATAGATGGGTAGTTGTATCTCATTGTGGGGGCATAGTGGCTTGGGGAAGGCCTGCCTCACCCCCCGAACGTGGTTTTCCATTCACAGTTGTCCTCTGGGATCCCCACAACTTACCCACAGGTTGTGAAGCTGACCTATACTATAGTAGCATCTGATGCTAACAGAGGACTTCATTTCATGCAGAAAGGTTGAATCCAGTGCTCAGAGGGTCTCTGGTCTATTTCCCAAGGTGCCAATAAGATTACTGGGTCAACAGTCTATGGCCACTTTTTGGCCCTATGAGCCTTCAAAATCCCTCCTTTGCAGCTTGGAAATTTAGTCTGTACATAACATCACCTTAATGCTCACCATTTCTGCCAGGGTGATGGTTTCTGAAGTTAACAATTTTGTTCTGACTGACAGAGGTGACCAAGGCAGGCTGGTGAGGAGTGGGGTAAATCCCATCACCAAGCAAGGCTGCTCCTTTACTAACGGTCCTGGGTCCCTGGCATTGTTGAGGGTTCAGACTCTCCTCCATACACCCTGGCTCTATCTTGGGGTACTGACAGCAAGAGGACCTGAATGAAGAGCAGAGGGGAGAGCTGCTAGGCAGGGGTGAGGGTGGAGAAACTGACTCTAAGCTCAGAGGCCATGGGTGCTGCAGACCTTCCCTGTAGGACTAACCATGGGCCCAAGTGCGTGGCCGGGTGAATCCGTCAACCGGCCCCACAATCAATCACCTTGTAGAGGGTTACTCTTCACTTTCTCTGCTACCTGACTTCACATGCCCGCACCAATGTGTGTGAGCACAGGGCTACAACCACACTGAGTCCACAGCACCAGGAGTAGAGTATTCATGTCTCCAGTGTGTTTTCAACTTCACCTCACGCAGAACCCTGCACTACCCTTGAGACAGGCTAACTAAGAGTTCTTCTTTGTCCGTCTTATGTCTTTACAACTGATTCTAGTTTCCTGTTAGTTTTATAGGGTGTAGCCGTACCCCCTCATCCCAATAAAGAAAATCATAAAGCGAGAGGATAAGAGAACAAAAAAAAGCACTGGGGGAAAGGACTGTGGGTGGCGCTGGTCAGAGGATGACCTGGCACACAGGTACGGCGACCCTGGATAACCTCTGAGGACCCACAACACAGTGATCCAGAGAGGACTCAGGAAACCACAGCCTGGAGGCCATGTCCAACCCACTGTTGTGTACATGGGAGTGTTACCGGCACAGCCATTGCGTACCGTTGTCTGTTTTCACATGGTAACGTTCAAGACGAATAGCCTGTAAAGTCCAAAATATTTAATACCTGGTTCTTTATACAAGTTTGTTCATGCTTGGTATGAAGGTAAAGATATTAAAAGTTCTTTGATTTTTATTGGGCAAATAGCCCACAGATGACGTGTGTCATTTCTCAAAGATGCTGCTGAGGCATACATATGAGCAATAAGCCCAGTTGTCAAAGGTGAAAATTAGGTACCACTAAATCCGAAATTCTGCTTCCTTCTCATTCTAGAAATTGGATGGTGGAAAAGCCAGCATGAAGTTTGCAGGTTTGGTTTGTTTCCTTCTGCTCGTCATCTGTCAAACTGACTTTGGACAAAATGAAGAAGCACCTAGGAAGCAGCGGAGGAAGATGCACCACAGAAGACTGAGGGGCAGCTCCTCGCCTGCCCGCAGGTCCAGCAGGCAGCTGGGGGACCAGCGGACAATGGTCACACCTGGAGCAACACGTCCCGTGCTGAACCTGGACTACAGCACAGAGGAAAAGTTTGACTCTTTTGTAGGTTTTCTTGGAGTAGAATCAAGTTATAACGTGTTACCAGGTAAGAGCCCAGTGAGAGAAACAGAACCTCCATGAGGACAATTTTCCAAAAAAAGTTTAATCTAATGATAAAGTTTGAAATAATTTAAAATTTCATTTATAGAATGTAATTGTAACATAAAATTATTGGAAAAGAAAAAAGTTATCCCACAACGATGTTTATAAAACCCAGTTACTATTTTCGTTTATTAATTTCTGGTCTGTTTACTGTGCCATGTATTTGACGTAGTTATATTCCTAATATAGATAATATACATAAAAAGTTGTAAGCTGCTTTTTCATTTATAGTGATAGATCATATAGGATACAGAAATAAATTATTTGGATGACTGAACACAGGGCTGTTAACCAGGGCCTGAGTTAGGCAAGCACAGTGGGGAGGGGGAGGGCGGATCGAACGTGAGAGCCCCCCCGAGGGTGGGAGTTGGGGATGGTAGCTTGTCCCACAAAGGAGAGGTATCAGAAATGATACTGGGTCGGAAGGACAGCATCTCCCCTAACATTCACGTCAAAGCAGGCTGTCTACTGGCCTTCTTGGGTGACACACTCACCCACCTGTGTGCAACGCTGTGCATTGGAAATGGAGGCACTGAAGGCCACTGCACTGTGCACGGTACAAGGGTGAACATGGAGGTATGGGAGCTGTCCTTCCGCAACACAGCAGTTCTCAAAGAAGGGACAGGTGCACTGTCTCCTTGGGAACCAGTGTCAGAGGCACTGCAGAGGCAGGCTCTGTGGCCTGGCTGTCCTGTCTGCACACCGGCAGGTCTGGGGCGTGGGCTCACCACTGGGGCTGTCCCTGCCCTGCTCTCTGGCACCGGATGGAGCTGCACTGCCGCGTCTCTTCTGAAATTAGGTACGGCCATCTCATTTGCTGGGGTCAACATAATGAGACGCTTTTGGGGCTTGTCTGGGATTTGCAAACTTCCATTCTCTCTGCTTTGGCCATCAGGGCAGCCTGCTTGCAGATGAAGCCCGCTGATTATTCCTGGGTGGCCATCCTGTGCAGAGGCCGTGTGCCCACACTGGACACACGGCATGGATAAGGAATCCCTGATGCCTGGGGTGGTGGATGCTGTTCTATAATTTAGTCACCCCGACAGGTACAGTGTGGAGGCGCAGTTCAGAGTCAGGCCACCAGGCTGGTCACTCTCAGAGCCTGAGTGAGAGGCTGAGAGAGCAGGAGGACACCCCGCTGGGGGTTACATCTCTGGATCTACCTACTTTGTGTGCAAACACACGCAGGAACTTACTGTGTCCCTGCTTCTCTTTCAGGAAAGAAGGGACACTGTCTGGTAAACGGGATGACCATGTACAACAAAGCTGTGTGGTCTCCTGAGCCATGCACGACCTGCCTCTGCTCCAATGGAAGGGTGCTTTGCGACGAAACCGTGTGCCCCCCTCTGACATGCCCCCAAACCATCACACCGGAAGGAGAGTGCTGTCCAGTCTGCGTGGATACTGGTATAAGTATTTAGCTGAAACAAAATATCACATGTGACGGAGTCTTCAACTTACATTTGTTTTTGTTTTGTCACTGCCTTAAGTTTTAAATTAAATTATGGTAAACTAGTCATCAAGGTACTGAAGATACTGGCACAGTGATGACAAACATAGACGTTATTTGGGAAAATGCATGGTAGGAGACGGAACTAAATGATCTAGGCTTTATAGTCCCAGCTCTGTCAGAATGCGTAAACTTGGACCAGACTACACTGCACACAGACTCTCAGCTTCAGAGAAGCAGTGACAAAGCTGACATAGCCCACAGTTCCCACATTACACGCGGGGTCTCCCTTAATCTGACTCAGGGTGGGTACGTTTAGACCACCAACGAAGATGAAGAACTCTTGGGGAACAGAGGGAGAGGCGGTTTGCATCTGGAGAGAAAAGAGCCCAATGCGTCCAGCCTGTTTGCTCTCACTACTGCTCGGGTCATCTGGGGACATGTGCGAGCATGGCCCTGAAGCAGGGCCCACATCTTGGCCACGTGGCCTGGTGCATGTCTGCTGTCCCCTACGCTCATGGGGCTCATATCTGAGCGACAGACGACTCTCGAGAGGGAGGCGCAGGTCCCCAGGAAGAGCCTAGTTAGTGATTGATGAAATAAACAAACGTGGTAAATAATCTGATGGGAAAGAACAGAGACATCTTTTCCGGTCTACAGTTGAGGTAGATGGACGGTCACAGGGTGGGTGTCTACAGAGGATGTCTACCAAGAAGAACTTCAGAATATTTAGGAATTGCATTTTGGTTTACACTTATTTTACTAAGGTATTATGCCTTTAAAAAATGTTACCAAGTATACAGGCAAGATTTAGAAATTATCAGACATTTTTCAAAGGACTTGGAATAATCTTGAAATGCTGTGGCTATTTTGGAAAAATAAACTTGGATATACAGGAAGGATTTTAAATGTTTCAATATGATAGCTTTAGTTTCCTTTCCTTAATTTTTTCCTGTTTTCCTTTTGCATGCTGTGCCAGAGATGTGAAAAAATAACTCACTGACTTTATAATATATACTGGACCAAAATCTCAAGTAATTCCTTCAAATAGTTACATTTTCTGAGTTCCTTCCCCGGGTGATTTATGTCTAGATGACTCAGTAAAGGTGCACGCCTTGGAGCTCACTTCTCCCTGAGCTCCGGTGACTGTCGGGCTGGCCCCATTTGCTGCTCAGTGTGAACGCAGGCGAGCGTGTGCCGCTGACCATTTTGCCCCCATCATCACAGAACAGTGGGGAGCACCCCTGTGCACACTTACAACAGCATCATCTGAGTCCAGGAGGACTTCCAGAAGGTCACACAGTAAAAATCAGACTAGAGAGTCTGGAGGGAGAAAGAGAAAAACTCTCTGTAATTCTAAATTTCAGAAGATGCTTTTGGGCCCGTGGGGCTGAAAGGAAACCAGACAAAAATAATAATAAATCTACAAACGAAAGCCAGTTTCACTACCACAAGCAAGCAAAATACACATTTCACTTTTTTATGTCTGGCGGTACAGACGCTTACACTGTTAATAACCCCAATTAACTGAGCAGTATCTATGATAAAGGTCGCACCTCATCACGTTGCAACCTCACACAGGACTGCTTATCACTGTGCATCATGTAACAACATTATTCCCTCTTTATTACCAGGTAGCCAGGCATTTTAGTAAAAATAAATATTAAGGCCACAGGCAAAACAAAAATTGCCTAAAACAAGTCTTAGAAATAAAATTTCAAAAGGTGTCTCATGTGTATATCGCACTCAAGTACCTGGAGGGAATATTTACTAACCTCATTTTCACTATGATTTTTCCTTTTGCTAACGTCACAACCCACCCCTGTTGTGTCCCCATGGTTGGTAGCTTCTCTCCAGCCACTCAGTGGTACAGCCGTAAGTGATACAAGTGAATTTTCTGGTGATTCTTCAGAACAAAGAGAAGCAACCAACTTACCCTGTAAGCAACAGCCATCTTGTCCGCTGGAAATGAACCCAGTGTTGCAAAAAGAGGAACTTCGGTTTGAGGAGGATGAAGAAGAAATTAAAGAAGATAAAGATAAGGAGCAGAAGAAACAGACCGCTGACCTCGGAGAGCAGGAGAGACCCCTCAGTGAAGGGCGGAGCAGAGAAGGGGGAGAGCAGAGACCCCACGAGGAGGGGAGGCAGGCCCATCAAAGAGGACACCCAGCAAGGGAGGAGGAGGAGGAGGAGGAGGAGGAGGAGGAGGAGGAGGAGGAGGGAGAGGGGGAGGACAATGACGACGAGGAGGACGACGGCGATGACGAAGAGGAGCACGATGACACCATCAGAGGAGACGTGTTCAGGATGCCCTCAAGACCCCGGGTCCCCCCCTCTCCCAGACGCATGCCACCTCTGCCCAGCGGGTGCTCTCTGTCCTACAGGACCATCAGCTGCATGAGCGCAGGCCTCACACAGATGCCACCACTCACGGCACCAGAGATAACAAGCCTGGAGCTTGCTGGTAAGAGACGTGGACGCATGTTGTTCTGTCCTTGCCCTGTGAGAGTCCTACTTTAATTTCATAATATAAACTGATCCTAAACACTCTTCGATCATAGAAATAAACTTTGTGGAATAAACCGCATAGTTACGTGTAAGCAAATTTCTCCAAATCAAATCATGATTTCCCACTGACTCTCCCTCAAGTAGGCTTTACTGAGGTGTGGTAACTTATGGGATGTGTGCAGTTGTGTAACTACCCCACATTCAGGGTGCAGAAAACTCCCGTCCCCTCCCCACACTTGCTCGCACCCCTCCCCCCCCCACCCCTGGTCTCTGCTGAGGTGACGCGCCTCCAGAGTTTGGCCATCCATGGCCATCACCCAAGTGGGGTCACATGGCACGCAGTCTTCCTGGCTGGGCCTCTTTCACTTGGTGTCTGGATGCTGCTCCTCAGGAGCCTGTGGGGCGCGCAGAGACCACAGGTGCCAGCTGGAGGGTACGGGGTCAGGGCCAGTGTGGGGCGACCGTATGAACAGTTCCACAAACATCCACACACAGAGGCCCGTGTGGACCTGGTTTTCCTCTCGTTAATGCTGAGTGACAGAGTAAATGTGTGTTTGACTTTACAGGAAACCACCCACGGTTCCCAAAGCTGGCTGCGGCCTTGCTGCCAGAGATGCCCAGCACCCCCCACTGGCCTCTCCCTCATGTTAGCCGTTCAGGCGGGTATGGTGGGGTCTGGTCCTCCTCCCTGTTCACATGAGGTTACCGGAAGGGCTCTGAGCACACGGATGGCAGGACCAGGTGTGTGTCTGTCTGCCCTGAACACAAAGGGTAAGAGAATCTGAATGGGGTTTCGGATGTGCCTCAGGGGAAACCGCAGAAATAAACTACCAGAGAAATAACAACTGACCTTGTAAACACACACACACACTCAACAGACAACGTCGGACACTGTGGTTCAGGACGGCCAGTCTGTGACAGGACACCACACTCGAATGATCCCTGGGGAACCCCCTCAGGCCCAGCAGCATCCACCCCCGCTCAAGGCTGGCACATCAGGTGCGCTCTGCCGTAAGAAAACCCAATCCGTGCATGAAAAAGGAATGACCTGTGCCCAGTCATACTATCTTGGTTTTACAAGAAGGTCACCACCTGGTTTTTGTAGTACTCCCTGTTTCTGGGAAGCTCATTTTCTAGGTTTAAAATCATTGACTACTGCACTTAACTAAATGTCAAAACAAAATCCCATAAAATTAAAGCACGTAGAACAAACTTCTACAGATCGAGGCCACACAATTGTAACACTAGATCTGGAGGCCATCTGAGCTCCTCGTTCAGAGAAGGAGATTTCAGAAAGGTAAATGATGTGTCAGGATTTCATGGATAACAGCCTCCTCGGATTTCTGGCCCAGGGTCTAGGACACATCAAAGGGAAAGTATGCTTAGATAGATCGTGTCCTTGTCTCCCCAGGGTAGAGCTCTCTCGCTATCTATGCACGTGCATGAGTACACGTATGTGTACGTGCACATGTCTGTGTGCACACGTGAGCCTAAGTTACAGCTGCTGTTTTCCAGGCAATGCCATCACCTCCATTCCTGATGAAGCATTTAATGGGCTGCCGAATTTGAAAAGGCTCGATCTGAGCAAAAATAATATCACCTCCCCGGGCATAGGGCCCAAAGCATTCAAGGTAAGTATACACACTCTGCCTGGTGAGTGATGACCCCCTCGGGCAGCTTTGTCCTGGCACCAGGGAAGGGAAGGAGACTGAAGTGTTTTCACTGTAGCTTTTTCCTGAGAAAGTCTCCCCGTGATGTCCCTAAACCACTCAAGTTTTATCTTGATCAAGGTCTGTGGGTTTCCATGCTTCACCCATAGAGCACCAACAACGGCGAAATGACAAAACTAGTATTTTGAACTTATGGAGCAGCCTCTCCTCAAACAGCTGAAAGTATGTTTAAATATGGTCTTTTAGTACATGAGCAGAGCTTATCTGGAAACTTTATTTACATGTTCAGGCTAGAAAGACAGAGCTTTGTGATTTTGTGCTGAGGGCAAGACCTGATGAACTTGTGGTCAGCACAGGGTTCTGGAGACACAAACGGGCTCAGATGAAAATCAGCATGGGACAGTGGGGGGAAAGACAAGGGCGAGAGGACAGGAAACAACAGAGAGTAAACCTCTGGAAGACTTGCGTTTGACTAAAACATTTCCTAAAATGGGAGAAAAGGAAAGAGGCCCAAGGAGTGTCAGGGAAGCAAAGGTGCAAACAAGAAAGAAGGGGTCTATGTGTGTAAACAAATACACACGTGTACTGTAAGAAGCCCAATGAAACACACTGCAACCCCCTTTATGACCTTTGTACAAACTGCTGGGCACGAGTGTGCTCAGTTCCTGGCTCCCACGCAGTTTCTGGGCTGGGACAGGACAGGGCTCCAGGCACCTGTCCTGCTGCGTCAGCTCAGACTCACGCATCTGCTACGTTTGATCAGAAAGACAGACACATAGGAAAGCATCTCCTTTTCTTGTTTTGGGGTCCTCTGTCCCCTTCCCAAACTGCTGAAGTTTGACTACGTGCTGCTGAGTCACCAGTGAGGCGTCAGAGCTCTACAAGCACACAACCCCAAACACAGGCATGTGCCTCCCAACAGAACTGTGTGGGCACCACGAAGGAGCAGCCTGTGGTATTTGTAGCCACCGTGAAGAAGGTCCACAACACTTAGTGCTATTTTATGACTGTTCCCACTTAGTGTAACTAGAAAATTGAGGTGTGCAGATATATTGTAAGAACTCAAACTGCTATCTTTTGTTTTAATTTTTTTAAATGTTTGTTTTTGAGAGAGAGAAAGAGCAGAAGCAGGGGAGGGGTGGAGAGAGGAGACACAGAATCCAAAGCAGGCTCCAGGCTCCGAGCTGTCAGCACAGAGCCCGACGCGGGGCTCGAACCCATGAGCCGTGAGATCATGACCTGATCTGAAGTTGGACGCTTAACCAACTGAGCCACCCAGGTGCCCCTCAAACTGCTGTCTTAATTGGTAGCATCCATGACAGATTCAGAGCACCACATAACCTAATTAATTTGTGTCTACTGCCGAGAAGGTGGAAACCTAAGATGTAGCCCAATGTGACTGGTCCAGTGGTGACAGGAGCTCTCTTTTGCTCACTAAAGCCACAATAGGAAAAATAGGTGAGTGGGACACAAAATCATCAGACACGGTTTGCTGACAATGCTTCCCGCAGGCACGAGTAAGGGCAGGCGGGTCCGTGAGGCTAAGTGGGGCTGTGCTCTGGGCGCTCAGTGCCATGCGTGACTGCACATCTATACCAGATGAAAAGGTAACTCGAGATTCACTTTTTAAGCTTCTGAAGAAGTTACTGCGCCTGAATATGGACGGGAACAATCTGGTAGAGATTCCTCCTGACTTACCATCTGCATTAGAAGAACTTAAGATCAATGACAACAGTCTGCAGGCTATCAGTGAAGAGAGCTTATCCGGTATGTAACGTTTGGTTGATGTATGTCCTTACAGCCTTTTCCTCTGTGGTCGTGTGGAAACTTTATGTACAGTATTGCCAGATGCACTAGTGAGTTTTTTAGGCCACATCACCATTTACCTTGATAAAATTTATTTACTCCTCTCATGGTTGATTCTGGACCAAACTGAACAACTGAAGTTGTCACATTGTGAGCTCGGCACAAAAGAGGCAGCACCACGCAAGCTGTTCACAAATGCTGGCTGGTGTCTCTGCTGAGGCCAAGTGCTGTGTCCAGACAAAGACGCCTAACTCTTCCTTCCATCCTCCCAACAGTCCAGCACAGCTCGTGAAGTACAGTGCTCACCACTTCCTATTTATCTGATTTGAAATATTTTAAGCCTAAAAAGAATAAAACAATTTCGTTATTTCTTTTTACTCCCAAAAAAACCTCACGAGGAACAAAGCCCTTCCAGTGATGGGAAGAAAACCAGCAATCCTAAGAAATGCCAAGTCTGAAAAGTACAGAGTTCTGGAAATATTCTATTTCCAGATGGGACTGCAGGGCGCACATGAAACACATCAATACACACAAATTGTGATAGGCTTTGTCATATGGAAAAGACACCCAGAAAGTGCAATTTCTAACTGCTAGGCGAAACAGAGGCCGAAGGAACACTGAATTTAGGCCAGCGCACTGATGGGTGTCTGCTAACTGCACGTGAGGTCACCTTTCTAGCTCCATTTTCTAGACCACGTGTTATAAGGCAGAAGCCCCTACCGGGAGCTGTGCTCACATATGCCTGGCAGCGGCTTCTCCACATGCTCCCTCCCTCACACACGTCTCCCCAGTCCAAGCACCGTAGAGGCCTCGGCCATGAGGAAGGCCTCAGGTGACGGTGCCCAGAGAGCCTCTACATTCTGTGCTGAGCCCTCTGCCGTGGACCGTCAGCCAGCTGGCAGCAAGCAGGGTGCCCCTGAGCTCAGGCCTCCACCGCTGCCAGATGCTGCTCTTTCTGCAGGGAGGGAGGCCCCTGGTGTGGCCGCCAGCGGCCTGCTGCTCCCCACGTGCTCTTGTGGCAAGTCTTCACTCACGACCCTTCACGGTACAGACCGTTCCAGAGAAGTGGGCAGGAGGGGTGGTGCAGGGAGGGCAACAGCACGTGCAAAGGTGCAGAGAAACAAAAGGGACCGGATGCTTCCGGGAGAGCACGCAGCCCCCCAGCAGTGCTTGTGCGTGGCCACCACTCGCATTCTCCCGTGTCCGTGACCTGCCAGGTTGGCCCCCACCCCACAATGGGAAGGACTTCTACCAGCTTCCTGCTTACAAACCCTCTTGCACTGCATCTACCCTACAGGAAACTTCTCGAGTCCCAGCGTGTTGCCTGTCACATACAACATACACGTAAGCCAGGGTAACTGTAAACTCACGTATAACATCAGGAACTCACACTGGGTGCTACGTTTCTCTCTCTCTCGTGAGGTCACATACCAGCTACTGGTCTACTTTTATTATCTGTTTTCCACGGGAAAACTTCCATTATGTTCCCAAACTTCAACTATGTTCTAGATAAATGGGCTAGATTCTCAGTACCTCTAGTTTCAGAAATTAGACAGAACATGAGGAAATATAACCACTTATCAGTTTACTGGTCGGGCCTCCTACTTCCTCTCAGCCCTTCAAGTGACGCCACACGGGCTCGCAGACTAGCGTCCTGTCCTGCCGCCGCCCAGAGGCTCCTCACTGCCTGGTGCACAAGGGGCCTGTGCCAAGGCTGTGAGCACAGCCACCCAGTTCGAAACGGCCTGTATTCACCTGGCTGCCTCAGCCTCCCATTTCTCCCTGCGTCGTCCTGTGCTTGGGAGTCCAGCCTCACCACTCGTGTGGTCTGCGCCCCTGATGGTGCTGCCCCTTGCTCTGGCTTGGACAACGTCTTGCCTCTCTAATATGCCTAAGAGAGGGAACTGAGATGTACAGAGCACTCAGTGCAATGCCCGTGACTTGAGCTGAATATGAAAACATCCCTATTCTGGAAATCTTGGCCACCAAACCAACCCCAAAGTTACACCCTGAATGTCTGACTCAGATGCCTCTGGGTATCATCACTGCTGAGCCGTCCACTCTCCTTCAGGATTCCAGCTGATGTGGATCATGCCACTCCTGAGGCCAGTGGAAATGATGTAGGGAAACTTATTTGTATAAAGGCCTTTCTTGGTAGCTCAGTCTGAATGCGTGGAGAATTCTTGATCATTCTCCTTTCCAAACATGCATTTGGCTGCACTCTCTGCCAGGAAGTGAACAACTGTGATGAGAATTCACTGCTATAACTCCCTTGTTCAGAGACTGACATTTGCCAGGCAGAGCACTCCCCTGTCCTCCGTCCATCCCTAATTATGCTGCTGTTTCATCTGGGCGTCCACGTCTTCGCCAATGCTTTAATGACCTCCACAACCTTCTACTGCTCACTTGGGCTCGCTGCCTCTGTGGGACGCCCTCACTCGATAGGCCTGTCTCTGCACTGGATCGCGCACCCAGCATCTTGCTAAGCTGGGTACCTAGGGTGCACAGAGCACTTGGGAAACAGCTCTGCAAGGGGGAGGCCAAAGAAGCGACATCTGCCCTCCAAATAAACTGAACATTTCACATGACATTTTGAAAGATACAGGAACTACATGGTTTTTTGATTTTCTTCATATTCTGACAATTGTATTTTATTTTTTGTAGACCTAAATCAGCTGGTCACCTTAGAACTGGAAGGAAACAATCTCAGCGAATCCAACGTCAACCCTTTGGCTTTCAAATCTTTGAAGAGCTTATCCTACCTGCGTCTGGGAAGAAATAAATTCAGAATTATACCACAGGGGCTTCCGGCTTCTGTTGAGGTACCACTATCTTTCTTCCAATGTTTTATGTTTTAAATACAGTCTACCTGAATTTAAAAAAAGCACTATTTTGAAACATTATTGTGCGGCAGATTAAATCCCATTTTGGTGCTATATACAGAATTTACTATAATTTCAACATTGTGTTTCCTCAAGCAATACACAATTTTAATTACTAGTAGAGACCCTTGATAAAGTGAAAATTGGTCTTCCTGACAGCTCTTGGGGGGAGAACGGGGAAGATGAATGAGAACTTAAACAGAAACGACAACTTGCAAGAAAGCGTCCCAGTTCCGCCCAGCGCCCATCACTGCCTTCCCACCCTGTGCCCAGGCTGGAGCCTCACTGCCAAGTTCACACCCAACCTCTAGCACTGACAGCAGAGGTCTGGAAGACCCAGCGGGGCCCTGGCTGACTGCTCTGAACTCTGTTTCTGCCCTCCCTGCCAGCTGTGGGCCCACTGCCCACGGAGCCACTGGCCCGGGTCTGCCACGGCTGCCGCAGGGCCACCCTTCTTCATCCTCCTACTGGCAGATTAAGAGAGAAGTTTAGAATTTGTCAAAATTGTAAAGACTGAGGTTCCAACACTGGGCTTTATTTCAGAAAGACGTATAGACCCCTTACCCTATCCCAGACATCCTCAGTCAGATTCTTTTGAGGGTGGGGTAATTTATAATTTTTTAAGTTAAGGTTTTAATACATAGTGCATGCAAGTAAAACACACGCAATTTGAATAATATGGAGGAGCAAAGGGTCTCCAAATGTGCCTGAACTCCTGTCCCACGTTCTTCTTTCCAGAGGGCCCCTCTCACTGGTAGGGGAGGTGATGTCCACGCAGGTGTGTGTGCTCTGACCCTTCCAGGGCCCTGCTTCCCAGACAGAGTCTAGTGTCTGGATGAGTGTGCTCTGAGTGGGGTACACCTAGGTTGGAATTTACACTTTAAAAGGCTCATGACTGATTCTAATATGCAACCAAGTTTGGGAACCACTGATTTGGTTCACCCCTAAATATGTATTAAGGTAAAAGCAAAAAGCTAAAGATTGCTTTACTTCTTCCTTTTTATTTTTTTTTTATTTTTATTTTTTTTCAACGTTTATTCATTTTTGGGACAGAGAGAGACAGAGCATGAACGGGGGAGGGGCAGAGAGAGAGGGAGACACAGAATCGGAAACAGGCTCCAGGCTCTGAGCCATCAGCCCAGAGCCCGACGTGGGGCTCGAACTCACGGACCGCGAGATCGTGACCTGGCTGAAGTCGGACGCCCAACCGACTGTGCCACCCAGGCGCCCCACCTCTTCCTTTTTAAAAAACAAAACAAAACAAAACTTTTTTTTAAAGTTTATTTTATTTATTTTGAGAGGGAGATAGAGAGCAAGTGGAGGAGGGGCAGAAAGACAGAGGGAAAGAGAGAATCCTAAGCAGGCTGTGCGCTGTCAGCACAGAGGCCAATGAACCCACGAACCATGAGATCGTGACCTGAACTGAAACCAAGAGTTGGACATTTCACCAACTGAGCCAGCCAGGAGCTCCTGCTTTACCCATTCCTAACAAGTAAGAAAATTAAATGAAAAGGGGAGGAGACTAGTACAACAGGAATAGAAAGTTAAACTGAAGATGTATACCAATGTCTGGTTCTAATTTCCAATAAGATTTTTGAGGGAAAACTCCCTCTAGGACCAAGGGAATTAAGGCAGCTGGCTGTTGAAAACAATAGCTCTAGCAAACTACCCCGATGTTAAATCAAGGCTCTTAATTAACTTTTCATTAAATTAATCTTAATACAAGCCAATCTAAAACGCTGACAGGCAGCACAGACTGGTGGGACACTGCCGGCCCCAGAGCTGGGACCTGGTGGGGACGTGTGTCTCTTGCGCATCAGGAGTGGGACCATGTGCCTTGTCATCTCTCCAGGCTGGGCCATTTCCACTACTGAAGGGGGAATGATCATCTCTACCTATTTTCCAGGGTTTTGAAGCCCAAATGAGATAATTTACATTAATAGGTTTTATAAACTAGAGAGCTTTATACAATTATTATGGTATGCTGTATTTTGCAACATTTTATGGTTCAAACCTTCATTTAATCCCATGACCATGAAAGATGACACATTTTATTTCACTAGTTAGTTAGAAAAGGACAACTTACAATAACAAACTCACTTGGAAAAGCAGTAGACTCTTCAGACAGCACTAAAGAGATCAGTCTACAACACCATCTTTCTCTCTCAAACTCAACCAACCAGCACGAAGAAAAATAGTCTGTTTTCTTAATTATAGGAATTATACCTGGAAAATAACCAAATTGAAGAAATAACCGAGATTTGTTTCAATCACACCAGGAAGATCAATGTCATTGTGCTACGATATAATAAAATTGAAGAAAACAGGATTGCTCCTTTAGCCTGGATAAACCAAGAGTGAGTATCCGCTGCTGTCTGACTGTCTTAGACAGTTTCTTCCCGCTGTCATTACTGCACAGGCTATGAATGAGCAACACCCTTTCATAGTGAACCCTCCCCCAAACCTGGCTATCTGACTGGAGCTTGTGGTATGGCTGGTGTTGAGGTGACCACAGTCTCTGTTACTTGGACACCCCACCCCCAGCCCAAGCGCTGAGTGACCCAAGGTCTGTCCACCTCACAGGTGGTCACGAAGTTGAAGTGAGGCCAGCCCTGCCCCTGCTGATAAAGGAAGATGCCCCCTTACCCTTGTGGGACCTCACGGTCTCAATGCCTCCGAACCCTTTCTCTGTCTCAAGTCTTATACAACAGGCGGGAAGGTGTGTGGCTGGAGAGGGAAGGCAGGAAGCAGGGTCTATGGCTGGTGTGGGGGTCTTGGCTGTCAGGAGGGCAAGACAGGCCATGGCGGGGCGGCGGGGGGAGTTGGGGAGAAGCCAGATTGGGCCGTGTGGGGAGGGCATGAGGGATCTGAGTGGCACAGTGGGAACAGGCATCTTTCAGGGGCAGGACAGAGGGATGAGACAGCCTCAGGTCCAGCTGAGCCCAGCAGGACATGGTGGTGGCAGGGTGACTCAGAAGCCACAGGGGAAGCTCCTGAAACAACCAGGCAGCCCCCTTTTCTCGACCCCTGTGTCACCACAAGCCCTATGTGCCAGGCTGTCAGATCAGGTGTGGAGCAGAGGTGGTTTCAGGGATAGGCAGCTGGACGTCTGACCCCAGAGACAGTGGTGGGTCCTGAGTTCACTACTGCCCCAGGAATGAACTTTCTTCCTGATCCCGGCGCTCTTTGCCCTGGAGCTGGAACAGCTGCGTGGTGACCAGGTAAGAGCGGGAGCCTCGCGGCCACCCTCACACACAAGCCACTGCTGCACACCCAGTGGTGGCAGGAAAATGGCTGAGTATCCCTGTGGTCCCTGCCCCACGCTCTACTCTGCTCACCCTTCTTTGCTGCAGAAATCTCGAGTCGATCGACCTGTCCTACAACAAGCTCTACCACGTCCCCTCCTACTTGCCCAAGTCACTGCTGCACCTCGTGCTCCTCGGGAACCAAATCGAGCGCATCCCTGGCTACGTATTTGGCCACATGGAGCCAGGCCTGGAGTATCTGTACCTGTCATTCAACAGACTCTCAGATGACGGCGTGGACAGAGTCTCCTTCTACGGGGCATACCATTCTCTGAGAGAGCTGTTTCTGGATCACAATGACTTAAAATCTATACCACCTGGGGTACAAGAAATGAAAGCACTCCATTTTCTGAGGTTGAACAACAACAAGATACGGTAAATTTTGGCTTTTTCAAGTATCGATTTAAACTGCTGTGGTTGACAGAGTATACAATTAAACAACCATGACATGATGTCTGGGATTTACTTCTAAGGGGAAAAAAAGGACAAGAGGTCACATTGAACAAGATAGGCAGATGTTCATAATTACTGAAGGGGGTGATAGGCACTCAAGGATTCATCACAGCTTTTTTCTACTTTTGTATATGTTTGCAAACTTCCATGGTAAAAACCTTTAGAATGGAACATTATTACCTAGTACTGAGAACCTAAGGGGTGGGTTGAAGTGAGGCTTCAAGATGGGATATTACAGTACTGCTCCTACCCTCATATGAAATTTAAAACATTCTAATCTGATTAGAATCTAAACTGATTCTATCTAGATTCTTCCTGAAGGAAAAATTCTGAAAAAAATTACTGAGTGTCAGCTTCTCTCACTTCTGGGGACACAATTTCCTATCTGCCTGGAAAGCATGAAGGTCTCAAGGATTCATCTGGAATGCTGCGGTAGTGCAGCCAAAGGCTGATCCTTGAGATGGGGTCTTGTCCCTGAAGATTCTACCCCTTCCTCTTTTGTCTGTCTCTAAAATTCCAAACACAAACTCCCAAAAACAAAAGAGGGAAAGAGTCAAGGGTGTATAACAGTACTGGAGAGAGAGGTGGGAGTGGGGAAGGCTTTATAAGATTCAGTTAAAAACGGTTTGGCTAGAGTACTTCATAGCTGTGCTCTGTGCTTTCTATTTGCGTCAGAAAGCACATGCCTGTCCCCCTTCCAGCCTGACATCTTGATTAATACCTTTCTCCTCCACCTCTGAACCATTGGTTTCATTCACAGATGATTGTTGCTTGAACCTCTTATTTCTTTAAGGGTAACAAACTGCTGAGCCCTATGTTTGTTATCCTTCCCACATTTGTCAGCTGGAACTCTTATCAACCAGGGCCACTTTGTTACTCAGGGGGGTAAGATGAATGCTCCGTTCTTCCCCTGAAATGTCCAATCAGAGCAAGAGGCTGGCTAAAAATTTCTAACCATGTGAGCTGACAGATGTTACCTAAACTTAACATGCAATCATTCTGCAGTATCTACAAATGCCAAATTATGTCTTATACCTTAAACTATCATGTTGTATGTTAATTCTATCTTTACAGAACTGGAAAAAAAATGACACATGCATTAAATATGAATGGAAAGGGCTATAAAACATATTAAAATATATTTCCAGCTGTCTCAGGAAAAAAAAGAAGTCGGTGCCTAAGTGTTTGTGTTTTTTTGTTTTTGGCTTTCTCTCTTTCTCTGGAGAATCAATATGAACTCATGGTTTTACATATTCAGAATGCTTTCATCAACTGTAATTATTGTTCTCAAACTCCACTCCTTGGCCAGAGGTAGCGCTCAGAGCTGGCTCCATGTCCTTGGCGAGGCCTCTGCTGACCCGGGCAGCACTCTCCTCCCCCTGCCACGCACCAGTGACAGCCTTCTCCCAGAGAGGTCCAAGCCCCCTCAATGGGAGCAGCATCCACATGCCCCAGGCTGGGGACCGGGCACTGTCTTTTCTAAAGTGTTGTTACTGTTTCAAGGCTTGCAGCGAACTGCCAGGAAATATGTATTTTGTAAAGAAAAAGAACAGGAGTTCATACTGGTGTTTCCAATTCAAATTTAACCATATAGAGTATTCCTTTTGTTTTAAATTTGTTTATCTTATACTGAGAATCTAGGTTCTCAGCAATGTTAACTAAGTCATTATCTTACAATGTACAAACAATAGTTTCGAAATAAGAATACCATTACTACAAGCACAAAAATACTGAATTAAGTATACAGTGTTTTGGGGAGCTCTATTTGCTTTTAGAATATGTTCCACAAAGGATGTGTAGCTGAAATATTGTAGCCTACTTAGTAACAATATGTCAAGAACTTAATATTCAGATAAGGTCTTTGGTTTGTTTTTGGTTTCAGGGAATTACTATTTTCTGTTTGATTTTTACTATGTTAAACATTTATAGAATTCCAAAGTCAAGACTGTATAACAAGGTATGTTAAGAGAAGTCCTTCTATGCCTGTACCTTATGCTGCATTCCATCATTCTGCTTATTAATTTTTTTAAATTAATTTGTGGTTTTTCCTTTCAGTATTTTTTTGCAAATATAAGTATACATACATACACATATTCCCCACCCTCTCCCACAATTACTATACAAATCATTACCAGAAAGATTTTTCTTTTTTCTCTTTTAATTTTGTTTAAACGCTTTTATCCATTTGTGAGAGAAGAAGAGAGACAGAGCATGAGTGGGGGAGGGGCAGAGAGAGAGGGAGACACAGAATCCGAAGCAGGCTCCAGGCTCCGAGCTGTCAGCACAGAGCCTGACACGGGGCTCGAACCCACGAACTGTGAGATCACGACCTAAGCCGAAGTCAGGCGCCTAACCGACTGAGCCACCCAGGTGCCTTGACAGTGAGTGGTACTTTCTTTTTTTAACGTCTTATTTTTGAGAGAGAGAGAGAGAGAGAGAGAGAGAAGACAGACAGAGCACAGAGTGGGGAAGGGCAGAGAGAGAGAGAGAATCCCAAACAAGCTCCAGGCTCTGAGTTGTCAGCACATAGCCCGATGCGGGGCTCAAATTCATGAACCACAAAATCATGACCTGAGCTGAAGTCGGACACTTAACTGAGTGAGCCACCCAGGCGTCCCTTGAGTGGTACTTTTTATAATTATCAGTATAGCCTTACTATGCCTCCTTATCAATATATGGAGAATTTCCTCATTCTTTTCACAATAGAATACAGACCAGTATTCTATTATGTGGAAATTTTATTTAACCAGTTCCTTATTGATAGACATCTAATTGTTTCCATTCTTTTATTACTACAAAGAATGCCATAATGCGTAACTTTGGACAGCCTTTTATATTTTTCCAGACTAACTCTGGGATAGGCTCCTAGAAGGGAGACTGCTTGAGTGACTGGGAAAATGCACGTGACCCTGCTAGGTACTGCCAATCCCCTCCCCCCCGCCCCCGGGGCTGTCCTGCTTTGAATTCCCTCCAGTACTGTGTGATCCTGCACAGCCCCATTATCCGACCAATTTTGAGGGACTTCTGCTTTTTTTTTTTTTTTTTTTTTTTTTTTTTTATGTGAGGCAAATCTGGTAAGTGACAGTGCTGTGCCAGGATACTTTC